ATTGAAAAGAAAGCAGTGAGTGCCTCCTCTTAGGATGCTCCTTATCTCAGCATGGAAGAATTGCCTTTGCAGTAAGCACTGCATAGATCAGAAAAAGTCTGTCCATTCAGCCCAGTGCAGACTTCCCTAGACAGAGATGTGAAGATGTCTTTCTGCAGCCCTTTATATCTTGGTATGCTCTACTGTACAGAAGGGAGGGACAGAAATACTCAGGTCATATCAAGTCATCCTAGTCAATGTGGGACACTTCTTTCAGGACCATAAGTCCCAGGTATTTGATGTAGTAACTCAGCCAGAATCCTTGGGGTTTTTGTTTGTTTGTTTGTTTTACTTATTTACATATAAAATCTGAGGAAAACCGTGTTTAGGAGAAAAGAAATTCTTATAGATTAAGTCAAAACTGACCATGAACTTCAGGTGGTTTAAATATAGTTTCATAATTATAATTGCTATACAGATGTTTCTGAAATGGGCAGGCTAAACAAGTTGTTTTATAAACCTAGAATCTCAGAAAATTTTAGGCATTGACAATATAGTACTTCCACAATAATTCTTCCAGTGCTAGTATTTCAGAGTGACAACAGGATCTTTTCTCTTAAATGAAGTTTTGTGACCTTAATGCAGGAAAGTAAAGACTCCCAGAATATGTAGTTATTAATCCCACCGATATCACTGAATAGTCTGAAACAGGATAGAAATGTGATTCATCCCTGCACTTTAGAGAAATGCTGTGAAAAACATCATAAATCAGCATGAGGGTTCACAAGCTTATAGTGAAGTGTGATAAAGTGCTTTACTGAACTAGAACTAGTATTTCTCAGTATCTTGTAAAACCAAGCACTGTAAAATATCAAATATTTGGCACAATATTTTTCATATTTGATGTGTGTAACCTTAAGAATGCTGGTAACAATTTATTTGGTTGCCTGTGTGAAAGGACTTTATTTCAACTTTTGAAGTCTTGAGACATTAATTTCTAAAGTTAATTTTCAATGGTCATGAAAGAAAGGGGCTGATGAGCTTTGAAGAAGGGCAGTGTGATCTTGAGCTTTTTAGTGGGTATGATTTAAATGATGTGGTAACCCAGTGTTGATCATCTTTCCAGAAGCTGATGGCAGGTGTCCACTTGTGATTGCTTTTGGGGTTAGAAGGGTTCCATGCAGCACATAACAGCTCTGATTGCCAAAATCATTTCCCCCAAGAGAGGGTAAGCTGGAACAGACAGTGACAACACATGCATACATTTTGTTTCTTCCTAAGACAAAGCATTTTGCAGAAGGTACAGAGGAACAGGTCAGTGCCATGTAAACAGAATGCAACTAGTGAACACCTAAATGAGAGATATAGGGAATAATCTCAAGTCCACAGCTCATACTCCTCTGCAGCTGAGGAAGCAGAGAAATAGAGCCAAGGAAGAATAAATCACCATGTTTGGACTCATCAAAGCAGTCAATATCTTATTTGATGTGAATAAATAACTACTCAAAAATTCAAAATAAAATCTAAATTTCTCTTTTTTTTAAATTATTTTTTTTTCTGAAAGGATTGTGTTTTCTTGGAAAATAGTTTGCTTTTAATGCACTTGAAAAATTATTATTCATATTCACATTATATTAGCATATTAAATTATTAAGATGTTCATGCATTATTGAAAAAAAACATTCTACAGTGAAGACTTATGACATGACTTGTGACATGATCATTGGATGAAAATGTTTTAACAAAAAAGAAGCTTTGAAACTTTGTTCTGTGGCTTGTCCTTTTTCTGTAATTACAAAAGTTCCATCACCTCATAAGGAATTTATAGTTTTTTGATGAAAAGTTATTATACATTATTGTACAATTTTAGTTATTCATACCTAGCATTAAAACATAGGGGTAGCTTATTTCAGAGATATGCAGTGAAATGTTTAGGACTTTACTTTCAGTAGGCTACAACAAAAGTTTTTATTAAAAAGTTTTTTGTCACTTATTTGTGTGGTTGTACTTTCCCGTTGAAACCAAATCGCATGATTTCCTGCCAGAAATCATCAGAGAAAGCTAATCTAAATTACCATGAACTAACTAGAAATAAAAATCACTAAATAACCCTGTTAACACCTCCTGTGACAAACCTGAGTTGCTGTTTGTCTAAATTGCAAGTTGATTACATTTCCTAGACATTTGGAAATCCTCAGAATTTTGAATATGCCAAAGTTTTTGAAATACATTCCATTCTATCTTAAACTATGTTTGTATAGAAATTAAGATTTTACTTTGGTAACCATCAGTGGGAATTGGCTAGTGACAGAAATGAGCATTACTGTAAAAATTTAGCATTTGTACAGAAAAATATTATCCATCGTAATTACTCTATTAACACTTGTCATAACATCACTATTCAAAAGCCTATTTTGTTCAAAATCTTAAGGGATCATTCTTTTTATGTATACAAAGTGTCATTCTAATACAGTTTGCTTTCATGGAATTGTGTTTTTTCCCCTCTTTTCTTTATGTCAAACACCTTTTGGTGCCTTTATAGATTTCATTGAGTCTGGATCTTAGACTTCTGAAAACATGAAATTGGGAATTATTTATTCTCATTCAAATAATAAATTTCATGTGAAATGAGTTTCACAGCAGGTGAATTTCCTAGAGGTTGCTTTATAATCTCTTATGAAGTTTGCAGAATTATGTCTTGCAAATTAATTTAAGTGGTCAAAGTTTAACTACAGCCACAGATAGACTATGCTCTGTATTGAGGCTCTAAACTCATAAATTGGTCTCATTTTCAGTTTTAAGTGTATACCTATGCCACTATTACATTTTCTGTGTTGTTAATGAGTTCATTTTATATTTCAAAGTATCAGGTTCCCCAGGTGCATAGATGATAATCAGTGTAAGGGTATTCTGAATTCCATTCCTCCTAGAGAACTGTGTCCTGTCACTTCTAACTTTAGCTATTTTTATTCCCTTTAAAAACATATTCCTGCTTAAGGTGCAAGAGAGCAGCTTTCTTAAAGGAAATATTGGTGGAAGATGTTATATAAGGATGTCCTCAGCCCGTGTATCTGTCAGGACTGGGGACATGGATGCAGGCAGATTTGGAGACTGAAGCTCCTTGCACATTCAGCAGTGACATCCACAAGTGCACAATCCAATCCCATGGAAAATAAGTGTAGTTGTGAGGGGATTTGGGTTTATTTTAGTAATTGCTGTGCAATCAAATAAACTCACTGCCTCTTTTTCTAAATTTGAGCTAATTAATAAGTAATCAATTGCAGGTAGATAATAATTCATACTTTGAAAACAAATTGAAAATTGTATTTTAAATGCTGTCTGTTTGCCAGTCAACATTACAGTGGAAGGAGATCTGTCATTTTGGAATAATAAATTTCCTTGCATGGCTTTCCAAATAGTAGATGTTTTTGTTTGTCCTGTTTGCCATTTCTAACGATTCTATTGCTATTTATACCAGTACTGTAGCATTGTCCCCATTTTAATCTAAAATACCCAAAACTCTCTGGCAATATTATAAAGAATATTTGTGTGTATCCTGAGGGAAAAATAAGAATCCCATACTGCTGTTAGAGCAATAAAAAGCAATGCTGTCATTTATTGTTGTCATTCACATGAAATATATTTTATGCTAAAATGGCCCATCTGGAGCATATCCACAGTATGGGACATTTACCTGTCTTCTTTTAGCATACTCATTTATTATGTTTTATGGACATAATATATAAATGAAGTGTAATCATTTTTATTTACTCTGGTGATGTCAGCATCAGTAATAAATCTACAATTCGCATGCAACTTCAGAATAGCAGAAGCAAATTTGTTAGTGTTAACATATTTAGACTGATATTATACTTTTACTTTAATGGGGTTAAGGCCATTCCTTGCATCATTTAAGTATTTTTCCCTCCTGTTACAGGATAATAAATTTCAAGTGTAATGTTTCAAAGGTCTCTGTACATATCATATGAAAAATGGTTCTTGTTGAATATAACCTTTCTTTATAAATAAATTGCATCAAAAATAGTAGAACTAACAGTACGCTGAAGCAGAACTGTCATAATTTTGCCACTATTTATACTTCATTCATGTGTAGGAATTTTTTACTGAAGTGGAGAAAAACTGAAAAAAATACATTAGAAATATTATACAGCATTTCTGAAGCTGAACGTGTGTGTAGCATGCAAAATAAGGATTTTAAACAATGACAAAGAAACTTTGGATTTTAAGGATTTTAAACAATGGCAAAATGTTTGAACACTTTTGGATCAGCAAAAACATCTTTTTTCGAAGTGTGTGGTTTGAGAAGACTTTATTATTTTTATAAATAGGGGTTTATTATTTAGTTAAACTTGATTTCTTATGAAATCTTTCACTGATCACCTGCTGGATATTTATCACTCTGCAACAGACAGAAGAGAGGAGGTTTATTTAGCCTTCCAGAGAATATTTCACAAATGCTAACTTCTCCTATTCCTGGCAGTAGAAAATAATTAAGTAAATACAAGATTGATAAGTCTAATGAAACAGTAGAATGTTTTTATTTAAAAGGTTCCATAGCTCATTTCTTACCTGCCTAATTGTTTTCATCATACTGAAATTTGTATGAGTCTACAATTTTTTTTTTAACATGAATGGTACTATATTTAAGCATGATTAGTATTGCAGTAAGTACCAAAGGAGGTAGTCATAATGTGCCACTTATGATAATGTCTTGGCATCATTTTATATCACAGTGATGTTTCAGTGAATTTACACCATTGTGAAGCCAACCATTCTGTTATGGTTCACTATGATTAATGTGACCACCAGTGAAAGCTGATAATAATTAGTCACTTTCATAAATTGCCATTAAATTGACTGTATCCCACAGAATAAATTTTATCCCATTTTAAGTGAGAAACATGGCAAATGACTCCTCTATCAATTAATAAGAAATATTTAATGAGAAGTAGAAGTCTACTATACACTGAAAAATGTTTTTGTATTTCTTGTTTTCCTAGATTTTGGTGAAAGGTATTGTAGGAGATGGTTTCACCGGAGACATCGGACTTGATGATGTGTCTTTTCTGGGCTGTACTCTCTACAATGGTAAGAGTTGAAATTCACATCTCCAAGCTGTGGCCAATTCGTTGCTGTTATTTGTAAATATTGCTACTAAAAAAGTAAAAATGAGGTTAAAATGTCAGTCAGGAAATCCAGACTTATTTCACTGCTCCTCAGAGTCTCATATTCAGACATCAGGAAAAAATAGGTTCTGCTGTGCATGTAAGGTCCAAAAGAGATCCTTAGTGAGACCTGTGCAGCATCTATACTCTTCTAGATCTTGACTTCTAGAAGGTAAAAGAAACTTATCTGTGTGTAAATGAGCTGAACCTTCATTCTGCAAATTCAGTTTGATACAGCTTTCCCCTCCCCCCTTAGTGTACTTATTGTGCCAATTGCTCTCACATGACAGCACACAATTAGCTCAGGTGATAGAGCAATCTGTTGTCAAAAGTCATTGTTACCAAGGGTAGAACAGTCTCTACAGAATTGTAATATATTATATCCCAAAATACATGTACTTCAAGACGCCAGACTCAGGATGTGGAGTTCACCACAGAATAGATTTTAAGGGGGCCACTGTCAGCTGCAGCAGGCATTGCAGGGTTATATATGGTGTGGCAGTTTCTCTGAAGCCATGACAGGGCTGTAGAGCAGCAGACAATTTAAAAGTGTCTGAATAGTAGTATCCTAGCACTTACTCTAAAACACACTATTGCAGATGCATTTTGTTCTGCTACTCCAAAAATTTCTTACAGATATAATTAGTCCTACAAGGAATATTAAATGTGTATGGTATTTCTTTTGCAGATAATTATCTAGTGTTTTAACATATTTATACAGGGTAAAGCAGGTATTATAACATTTTGGATATGAAGGCTTTTTGTAAATACTCAGTTAATGGATTGTGCCTTATATTTAGGGAATAAAATCTTAATCAGAAAATCCATAAATAATTTCAAATTAGTCAGGAAGAAAACTTTAAAACTAAGCAAGAAATTGAAAGACATAGAGAGTCAGAGTTTCAAAGTTTCAAATTAAGGAAAAAACCCCTCATTGTGTGTGGAAAGATAAATTGAAAATACTCGAGTATAATGGTGGACAGGAATCAGGCTTTGTGTTTTATATATTTCTGAAATTGAGAGCAATTTTTGAGACCGTCTAGGGTCCTGTTTTTTTTCATCTCCTCCACGTAGTAAAATATTCCAATAACAACAACAACAAAAAAACAGTCAAAGAGGCTGTGGGAATAGCCTGCAAAATAGACAACAGCTATGGCACATTCCACCATATTTAACACCAATTGGATCAGGTTGAAAAAGCAGGGTTCCCCTGCCCCTGCACCCTAGAATCAAACAGTGCCCAATTGCTCTAGGTCCACTTTAAGTGACCAAATGCTGACAGAGAGAGATGGACTTGACAGCTTGGTGGTAAAGTCTCTTATAAGTAACGTTAAAGATGTTGAATCTTTTGAATTTTGAGCGTACTGCTTCAACACATTATTTGAATGCTTTGACCAAAGGCTATTCAGTGATACTTGCTCTGGACAAAATGGTATTCAATGAAGTACAGAAAATAAATTGTTTCAAAATAGAGGAAGTATCACATCCTCCTTTCTTTTCAGGTGTTGTGAAGTCTATGGTTATTCAAAGTTTCTTCCATTTCAGTGTATCAGGAGCAAAGTCTTAAATGTGACATTTGTATTTAAAAATTTCTGACCAATAAGGTCCTTGCTGTTATTCTGAGTTGTAAATAAATTTATCAATTCATACAATTCTTACTTCAAAACATTCCTTCCTCTCTAAGTCTTTTGTATGAGTTTTAGGACAATTTGAGAGTATCATTAATTTGACTGGAAACAAATTTATTTCATGTCATAGATTTGCTTTCTACCCTACAAAATAGAAATGAGTAATTTATTATCAATATTAGAGCTCCAGCCGTCAGGGATTAAAAAAAAAAAAAAAATCCTTGCTATCCCAGACACATTTAATATGAAAAGTTTTCACATATACTTTTTAATTAACTCAGGTGTACTGTTCAGGTGCATTGTGCACTACAGCTATAATTTCATAAATTATTAAATTTTAAAAAGGAGCTTTATAATGGAAATTCCTTTTATGGACAATAGTAGCAAAGGTTTTCAAGAAAAGAGAGTAAGCTTGAAGAAAGGTGCATAGTGAAGAATAGCAGGACGAAAAAAGACAATTGATTTGAAAGAAGTGGTAATGAGTTTGAACTAAATATAAAGGAGGTGGTGGAACAAGGTGGAGACCTCAGAATAATTTCTCTAATGAGAAAATAATTTTTTTCAGCAATAAATTTACAAGGTAAGAAGGTTACATAGTAATTCCCACAGTCGCTTGTAGTAATCAACATGTTGAAAAACCCATTATCATCTGAACAATCTGTTAGCTTTGGTGCACAGGGAAAATCAGCTTCTCTGATTGCTGTGTGAGTGTTGTCATTAGTTTTTTTAAATTATTCACTGGGTTAATTCAAATTTGAAAGAGTGTAAATCCTGCAAGTGTCAAAGATTGTACGGATGGTGTGACAAAACCAGTGCTTTCCACTGAGGAAAGCTCCAATTCAGCTCCTGCTGAACAGTATTTCAGTCACTCAACGGTCCAGGCTTGATTCCAGTAAAGCCATACCCTGGAAAAAGGGGGAGAGTGGCAAAGGAAGAAATCATGAAGCTGAAATGCCTTAATCCAGGTGCTCAACATCCTTTTGGCTCCTTTTTCAAAGGATACTTGCCCACTATTTCTACAACTACTTCAGGAACTTCAGTTCCTGCCACGCTCCCCATGAACAACTGCACAGAGAAGGAGTTTGTCTGTCGAGCCTCTGGCCACTGCATCCAGATGATCCAGAAGTGTGATTTTAGACCTGACTGCTCTGATAAGTCTGATGAATCAGCTTGTGGTGAGTGGATCAAATCATGTTCTTTGCTACCTTACTAGTTTGTGGGTCTTAAGCTCTATCTTATCTTTGCAATTTGGTATTACCACCAAGATGCTATTTTAAAGTGATTTTCCCCAGGAACAAAGTAACATTTTACTCTTAATATGTGTGATGTATTCTGCCTTCTGATTCAGACTCAACATTTCAATTCAAGTTACTACTGAAATGTGGTATGGGAAGGAATCCTCAGTTCCTTAATGATTGGTAATCATACATGACAGTTTTAAGTGAGCATATTTTCTTAAAATTTTCACTAGTCCAGACTGGAAGAGAGAAAAGCGTTAGAGTTTCATCTTTGGGGTGGACATCTGGGAGAACTGTATCCACTTCTTAACTACTTCAATGAGTATGGGTTTTGGTTGGTTGGTTGGTTATTGGGATTTTTTAAATACAAAATTGTTTCAGCATCACCAATAATTGTGAAATACAGCCTACTCCACACAGAAGTGAATTCCAGCCTGTAAAGCTCTGATAGTCTTATGGAACACTGTAAGGGGGACAATGGACAAGGTCCACACGTGATGTGCCATAAAGATCTAAGACAATTGTTGATTGCTTTTGAGTTGCAGGAGTTCACACTGTGGTGTTTTAGATGTCATTAATGACTTCCTTTTGCCTCAAAGAACAGTTCTTGAAAGTACCAAAGCCAGTTAATGAGGGGGATAGACATCTAGAGACAGTGACCTCATCATCCTAGGCAAGGTCTGTTGTCACTAAAAATGAAAACTCTTAATTCATTACACATTGTGAAGGGAATTCAATCACCTCTCTCAGGGCTGAGGGCTCAGTGAGTAAAAGTATCATTCTCTCCCTATGTCTATTTCCTATGTGGGAATAACTGGAAGAAATGAATCTGATGTTTGAGTACCATGGCTAGTTTCCTATAGTGTGAAAAAAGCACTTCAACAGCCATTAAAATCTTGCCCTGAAACACAAATGCAGAGCCCTCTGAATATTTCTCCTCTCAGAACAGTATCTCACAAAACATCTTTTTCTCCTAAGCAAGATAAATACTGTGGAGAATACACCTTTACATATTTGCTCCATCTGAGGTCTCCCATCACTAAGATGGGAATTTATCACTTAAGGGACAATGCTGGACTAGGACTTAAAAATGTCCAGACTGAAACAGAAATATGGTCACAGGAAGATGTTATCTTTCTCAGAGGCACTTTAAATATAATGTTGACAGAGCATGTTCAAAAGGGGAATAAGCATTTAACACAACTCATCATTCTCAGGAAACATCACAAATCTTCGTATGAGCAACCCATGAGATCACACTGGCTGTAGTTTGCTTCCTTAGTGAGGATATGCAACCTATAAATCAAAACTCACTCTCTCTTTAGTCTACTATTTTTAGCCTTCAAGTAAGGAAGCATCAGGCACATTCTACCAACAAAACATGATTTCTTAATGCAGCATTTTTTATGGGTTTATGGGTTAAAATAAATTCTTGTTCCCCTTGCACAAGTCTCGCTGCAGTTGCTTAAACTTAAGTGTAATAATCTGTTCCAAAGTTCTGGAGAGTGACTAGACTCAACTTGGACCATGTGCTGGAGAATAAATATTCACAGCAGAAATGGAAAATAAAATTGGTTTTTTTACCCTTAGTAGGGTCAGTAGTGAGCTCACTTTGATGCTCAGGAAGCAAAAACTCTTTGGAAGACAGCTGAGCATTTTTTTTTTTTTAGTAAGACAACAATCTATTTGATACCAATACCAAATAGATGCATTTATGCATTTTTATGTAATTTTCAAGTTTTATGAGGACTGCTTTAAATCTGGTTTGGGTTTTTTTGGGGTTTTTTTTAGAGTTATGTTCATGGACTTTGTAGACAATCTACAATTTGCTAATGTCATCAATCTACAGGACTGGAGACAGAACTATACAGCAGTTCACATTCTCAGCTGATGAATTTTACATGAATTTCCATGTATATTGCATGATAAATTATTAGAATTGCCTGAAAGGTGGTCAGAACTCACATGAAGGTAGATACTGAGGTGCAAATGAATTGGTGTATTCCCAAAATTAGAATCAGTCTAATAGAGGAGAAAATATAAAATTCATGTTTTATCTGTAAGGAAAAAACTTTGCATGTTAGTAATGTGTTCAGTAACCATGGATACTATAAATTGAATCCTTTTTATTTCCATGTCGCTTTTTGGGTTGCAACATGAGTTAATGAATTTCAATTTTTATATAAACATGAGTAATCACTGTTAATCTCTAAAGTTATGGAAGTCTGTGACTTTGAAGATAAAGACCTGTGTGGATGGCATCAACCAGCCTTGGAACAGATGTCACGAAATTACTCCATACTTTTCACAAAGACATTCAAGTGGCAACTTGGAAGAGGAGCAAATCTCTACCCTGAGGAAGAACAACACTGCCCATTAACTGATCATACTACGTGAGTACATTTTTTCAGGTGCTTGAGTCTCTTCAAAAATGTGAGATCTTAACCACATGTAGATTGTCAAGGGGAAAAACTGCTGCATTTACAATATTGAAGCAGTTTACCGATTTATCAGTGACATGTAATTAACTGACAATAGGTGAAGTAGGAATGCAGGATCAATACTAGAGATTAATCAAAATAAAAATAATCATTAATAAGCAGGTAAACATTTTTAAGTAACCTTTCCATAAGTAACTCCCAAAAGTTTCGGTACCTCCGTATCCAGAGAAACGTGTGCTCCTCCCACAGGATATGTGGAGTACAAGAATGTTCCCCCTTATGGAAAAGCAAGTTTGGAAGACAAGGCTGCTCCAGCATTACCCTCCTTCCAGCACCCCAAACTGTCAGCCCAGTTGGCTGCAGGCTGTTGGCAGCTCCCAGGGGGACTGGTGCTCTGTCTGGTCTCTGCAGTGGTTGTGGCACCAGCAAGATGACCTCTGACATGTCAAAACCAGGTGTTGGCCACTGCTCTTTGCACTGCATTATCAATTCCTGCTATTACAACTTTTCATCCTACTTTTACACTTCTTTTGAAACTGACTTCTCTTTTGGAAGCAGGCTTTGTAATTAATTTGGCACTGCTTAATTTAGTTCATTGTGGTCGTACTCTTGATTAGTTTGATGTGAATGCCTTCTCAGTCTTTATTCACACAGAAAATTTATGGTCACTTTTCTACCTTACTAGATATTGCTAGTTGTCAGCTAGCTGTTGCTTCGAATTTTGTTGTTGTTGTTGTGCTATTGCTCTTATCCCAGCAGTTTGCCCAAGGGTGGGCTGTACAAGTTAACACAAAATGTTCTGTGAATTCTGCACTCATTTAATATTTCACTAATGCAGTTCAAAACTACTGTAGTTAGAGCTAACTTCAGTTTAGCTGGTATTTTTTTACTACTTATTTTTATTTTACCATTTCTCTGGTTAATGACATAAATTCATATTAAAATGTAAAATATTTCTATTCTCTCAGTGAAGATTTGTAAATTAATGTTGCATTCTGTATAGATTGCTTAAGATATTTACTAGCTCCTCTGAGGATACTCCTTTGATTTATCTCAAGGAGTAAAAAATACCTTTTCTGCATGAACATTTAGTTTTAAATGTATGGAGTTTTCTGATTTTTTTTTTTAATTAAGTAAGAAATGTGTTTTAAAAAAAATACATTAATTTGATGTATTCCAATTATGTAATGTATTGAATGTCAACGTATTGAAAAAAAAATCCCTACAAGTAACTAGCAAGTACAATCAATTTTAAATATTATAGAACTTCATTAATAAGTAAATTTTTGTACAATGTAATTAATCTGAACAGAAAAATACCTGCCTGATTTTAGAGAAATGTATGTTTAGTTTCTGTGATAATAGCCCATAGACTGCAAAGATGGTCTTTAAATTAAGACCACTTCAACAAAATCTTTGCTATATTGCTACTAGTTTAAAATTACATTATTTTGCATTTACCCAGCCTGAATTTCTATCACTATTAAAGAGTGAGCTCAATATGTTAGTTTCACCGTATACTTCATTAAAATTACTTTATTTTTTCAAAGATCCCAAAACAGCAATATCAAACTCAAAATAATCATTCAACAACAGCAAAGAATTACAAGGCTGTCAAGCTGTTTCTAGGTCTCTACATTATATATGAAAAGGAAGTGTATCCCATAACAAAACAGAGCAACTGTTTACGATAAATTAGCTGCCAAATCTCTCATTGACTGCTCTCTAATTGTATATTAGCTAATACCAGCCCTGTATGTGTATTTAGTAAATCATCCCACAACCTTTCTAGTATAGGTTTACAGTGACAGAGTGATACATGGAATTGTATTACTGGTTTTCAACATATTTTCAAGGTTTAATGCAACTAACAGTATATTGAAAAGGACTGATGAAAAGAGAAAGTAAATGATCCATAGAGATTACAGTTTTCAGGCAACTCTGTAATGTATTGCTCTTGTGATGTTTCACATGAGATGCAGTTTGGTTCTGTGATTTCCCCCTTCCCTTTGTTTATTGGCCTATTGAGAAGTACAGAAAATAGATGTTTCCAAATTACCACAGGAGATGCAGAGCAGCAGTTTTGTTGAATTAAAGCCCTGCAACATTTCACTTTATTTTCTCATCCATTTTCCCCAAACTTCCACTAGTTAGAGGAGGCAAGCTGTGTTACTGTAATCCTGTATGTTTGCAAATTAAAATAAAATATGCAGGACTGTGTATAGAAATGTTTGGATTTGTTCTGTGGCAGTGCAGCTTACAATGAGTTCTTTCAGCAAAAATACCTGTGAATACTTGTAGTCAAACCACCTGCTCCCCCAGAGTAAGTACTTGGGCTAGCCACATGTAGGCTGGTGAATGGTGAGGTGAAGGTGTGAGTCTTTGAAGCTGTAATTACATTAATTAAGTGAAAGTAATTACTTTGGAAATAGAGGGAACAGCTTGTATGTGTATACAGAAACCAAAGGCTGGAGGAATAGAAGCCATTGTGGGAGTCTGCCATTGGAGCCTGCCTTGAGCTGTAAAGTCCCTGGCTTGAGCTGGAAAGCTCAAGGGCTTTCCTTGTGTTGTGCAAAGGGCTGGGTGACATTGGCACTGTGCACTGAGAAGACCACTATTCATATTCGAATGGAGAGCTCCTGTGATGTGTTTCTGTACTTAACAAATGGAATTCTCTATTGTAGTTATGCTTCTAAAAGCTGCAACAACAAAATACCAGTTTGTGTAGGCTTAAACAAGTGTATTAAATTGACACCAGCAAATGGGTGTCTACTAGTTTGTTTTCTTTTTAAACAATCTGGTTAGTGATGTAGCAAATTCTCTGACATTATTAACGATGTTTGGTTACAACTGTTAATTGAAAACTTCGTAGTCACTTAATTGAAATGATAATTCGTGCATCAAATCTAATAAATCAAAACAAAAATGGATGCAGAGATAAAACGAAGCTGACATGATAATTATTGCTGTGTAAGTAGTTGCCCTGGTAAACATATTTTTAATACATCTGTCTTTCTTTTGTGTCTCCTTTTCAGACAGTCATTTCAGAATTCAGGAAAGTTAGAAAAATTAAAGGTTTTAAGTAATATGCTTAAGCCCAGCAGTTTTTTCAGCAGTCAAGAAATGTTTTAAATTTGAGAATCTGAGAACTTCAAAAGAAGTGGAAAAATTAAAAATTGTGTGTGTTTTTTTTTTGTTTGTTGTTGGGCTGTTTTTCCTTTTGTGTCTAACTTAAATACAAATTGCTTTCAAGAATAAGCTAATGGCGAGAAATTATTTGCAGAATGTCAAATTATTTTATTGCAAGCAGTCATAATTTAATAAAACTTAATTTTGTATGAAGAAAGAGCATATACCCAAAGTATTTTTTACCTCTTATGTTAGGATGCCAGAACATGGGATTAAATTCATAATGAAAATAAATTAAACTGTGAATTATTTAATAATTTTGTGTATGTAAAACTTTGCCTACATTTGCCTCATTTTCTTCCTGAAATTTGTATTTATTACATAAAACAAAGCATCAAAGTTTTCTGTGATACACTGGAAGCATGGTCACAGATAGAAATTTTCTTTTGGAATTTTGACTTTTAGGATCCAATAATAAATATACTACAGTTGTATTTAGTACAAGAATTCCTTCTCATATTCCTAGTGGTTTTCTTTTGAGCAACTTTCTGATGTCAGTGTCCAATTACAGGTGTCAGTTTGACTTGTGCTTTGCTGTGTTAAGCACCTTTGGTTCCATGCAGTTTGAATTAAGTATTGAACCTCAGTCATGTGATAAAGTTTAGATGCTTAAGATAGATTTTTTTTTTTTTCTCTAGCACTATGCAAAGAACTTGGTCAGTTGGCATCCAGCATTTTACAGACAGTTGGGAGCACAAGTAGAGGTTGTCTTCTGCAATAGGAAATAGATGTATGACATTCTTTCAGAAACCTGTCTTCCAAAATATTTATGTCTGCTTTATTATGGCAGGACAATAATTTTAAATTTTTTGTTTCTACATTTATTAAGCCTTAATAATAAATGTTCATGGATGTGGAAGGTTACTAGAAAAAAAAATCAAGTCATAATAAGAGAATTTACTCTTTTTTGGAATAACCAGTTTGAAATTAATCTGCCACATAGGACTGTAAGTGAAAATATGTATTCCTAATGACTGTTTGCTCTCAATTCTCTTTTAATTGTTTTTTTTAATCTATACAGAAATGCTGAATTTTAATTCAAGGAAGGTCTCTCTTCCTTTTTTTTTAATTCTACTTGTTAGATACAGATTTCAGTTACTGACGATTTAGGACCTATTAGAATTTAAATGGTTGGAAGTGTTCAGCAGAGAAAATCTTTCTCTGGTGCACAGAATTAATTAAATTATTGGAGTTCTTAACTTCCTTTAAGAATATTGGAAATTACACATTTTATACATTTTAATTTTGAATATAAATTATTTTAATGAAACAATATTCTCACAGATGCAATAATCTTTATTCAGGGAAGAATTTTTTGAAGCCTATGAATATATTATATGTCAAACTGCAAGAGGTCTGTGAAGGTTTTGTTCACATGTTACAACCTATAATAGCCCATCCTGTATTAGCTACAGAAGAATTAGTAGTCAAAGAATTTCTGGTGCAGACACAGAATATCTAACAGATACAAAAGAAACAAGGTTTTATTTTAATCCTTCTTCTCTCTCAGCATAAGTCTTCCCATGCTTCCTAAAGATATGTGCAGTCACTATGCACCTTAACTAAAAACATGGCCATGCCCATCACAAGTCCCTCTCTTTCCTTCCCACCACCTGAACTGACCAGCACGATGGGAAGTCCACTGACATGTTGTTAACCCAGCCCAAAAAGGAGGTGATAAATTTCTTCTTGAATGACTGCTTGAATATTAAATTGTCTTTCACTTCTGAATTCTTGTCGCATTTTTTGTGACTTCTCCAGGCAGATGTAATGTTGAGGGAAATGTTAGGGTGTGCTTTTTAAAAGGCTTGTTATTATATATATATATATATTTCTAAAATACTTTATGTAATATTTTGTAATGTTTATATTTTTTTTCTACCCACCTTTTAGCAGTTTCCCACCTTACAGGCAAATTTCATGTAAAAGGTATCATATGAACGTGGCTTCCCCATTTTACAAATAATATTGAGGTTACATTTGACTCTATATGAATACATAAAATTAACCTGTCCTTGTTTATTTGCTTGTTTCCTTTTGAATTTTGTAATAATGAATTTTGAATGCTGTATATTTGTATTGCAACTTTTGTTGCTAGAAAGTATAACAACTTTTCTTTATATACCTTCTTAAATTTTACCAGAACCGTCATATCATCTGGTATTGACACTAAGAAGCAAGAATTAATAGGAATCAACAGAAAATGGAGTTAGCATGATGCAAATGTCAAAATATCACAGTTTACCACCACTTTCTGTCAAGTATATAAGGCATTAAAATTGATATTTTAAAATCTATATTTTAATTTAATTTAATATTTTATGCTATGTTCTGATGATAGTACAAGAAAAAAATGACAAAATCATGAATATTTCCTCATAAATATGTTTTTTAGGAATTAAAAGTTAGAATTTAACACCTTATTAACTAATTTTTTTTCTCAGAAATCTTCTGATGAAAGGTTTTTAGTTAGGAAATTGTAGGTAATTTCAAACAAACAATTTCAAATGCATTAACTTTAGCAAAGCTTCTGCCTGCTGCTTACTCATGCTTTAGGGAAAAGAATCTAGAGAAGGGAGTTATCTCCCATAGGCCCAGTACCTTGATAAAGGATGCAGAGGATGTGGAAAATTCAAACTGAAGTCACTGTCTTGACTGATTCAAACCACCAGCTTGAGCTTTGATGGCCCACATTTCCTGATGTCTCCAGTATCCCACAATCCTTTCCCTTGGGTCAAGAGAGTGCTTCTTTTGAAGGTCATCTGGTGCCTTAGTGGGTTTTCTTGACCACTATTTTTTTTTTTGTTCCCTACAGAAACACATCTGTTCTAATAGCAGGTCACTCGCTGGGCAGATCTCAGACAGATGGTGTTGGAGAGTTGAAAGAATAAAACTTTCAGTGCATAATAGGTACAATTGGTGTGGGGCTCTGATTTGCTGTGTAGATACTGTACGGTGTTTATGGACATATATAATCAGGAAAAATGGAAATGCATGTGGAGGCTGCTGCTTTCTGAATTTTGAAATTTAGTACAGTGTGCTGATCATTGGGATACTTATAACTAAGTAAACTAAAATGTCCCTCTCCTGTTTATGTTTTCTCTTTGTTTTTTGGGTTTTTTTTTCTCATTACTACTGAAATTTGGAAGGAAATCAGAACATTTAGTGAAAGGGGGTTTGTTTTCTAATCAAGTTTAGTTTTCAGTCCTAAAGGAAAATAATGAGTAATGGCTATTTTAAAAGTTCATTTAAGTGTTTAGTTAGGGATTCTCAAACATTTAGGAGAAGATACACAGATGAATTAAGACTTTAAAAACTGAGAGATGTCCAAAAGTTCATTAAATAAGAGCTTGTACTAGCTGTACAAGAAAGTACATCTGAATAAGTTTTGATTCCCTTTCACACGTTGCAATAGACAATTAGTACTGTGAAATGTGTAATTCACAGCATGAGACATGAATTGATAACACTGCAAGATTTAAGATGGGACTAATTTTTTGATAGGTCTTCAACTTTTCTTAACCCACCTAATCTTTCCCTAATTATTATATTCAGTTCACTGTATTCTTTGGAATGACTTGAAGGGGGAAACAGCATGAAGATTCTTCTATAAATGTCCATTCTTTGCCAACTACAGTTCAAAAGATATTTGAAATATTAAGCTATTAACTAAGACAAGTATGGAAATATAGGTCAGTTGCTTATGTTGAAAAATTTATATCCATTAAAATGTTGTGAATTTCCCTCTGAAATTAATTAGGATTTTTCAACTGGCACAGGAATGTCTTTGTTTAGGGAATGCTTGTAGTACTGAGGTAAAATTAATTATTTTCAAAGGGTAAATTTTGAGATTTTAATGACACTTAGTGTAGCTGCCAAATAAGAGGTTTTCCATGGGCTAATTTTCTAAATTGGCCTGAGCTTTTGCAGCTTCTGGCAGGGGAGCCTACCTGTATTCTGAATTTCAGGACTTACGTAAGATCTATGCTGAAAGCATTCACTATTATATATGTTGGAAAATACCATGTTTTACATTTGTTATCATCAGCTTCTTGATGTCTCATTTAAAAAAAGAAAAACACCTCAAGGGAGTCTTTTTATGGAATAGGAAAGAAATTAATTTAAGGGTGGGTCAGTTGATTAACTCTCAGAATGAACAAACTTACCTTCTCTGAAGATCACTTAAAAAACAAAGTTTGAGGGTGAAGACAAGAACATCATCTGGCAGAGTAAGAGAAGCTGTTAATTTACATTTACAGAAGCTTTGGAATATCTTGTCACTGTATATTTCTTATTAGGTTAAATAAAAATGGGCCAGCTAAGAAATTCTTTATTTTCAAAGTCAGAGATTGACATGCTGAACAGATGATTGCATGTATGTTAATTGGCTCTGCTAAAATTTCGCATCCACAGAAGGTATGGACCCTCTAGCTAATTTGAACTCTCTGCAAATAGAATGATTACTCATTATTTTTTCCAAACTCTTCCCTCTGCAGATCATGCACCTCCCTGGAAATTCCATGGAGGCTTCTATACCAGGCAGCTTAAGAATTCAAGATTCTGTAAGCAAACATGATGCAGGTTAATTTTCACTAGAATAAAACTTTCCTTTTAAACATGGATGGGTCACAAGTACATTAGTCTTGTAGTCCTAAGTGTGAAAACGTCCATGATAGGAGTGAAAGGCAAGAAGAATGCTCTACATATACTTACACGTCCCCTTCTGATCCCTCCATTTCCCATTACTTTCCTGCATAACCTTAATATTCTTGTAATCACGTACCACCATTGTGTTTAATGTCTAGCACTGTGAAGTGTTTCATACAGGAAACACTTTTTATCTGGTGTACTAGTTTCAAATGTAATATTACAGCAAACACTGGGACAAGGTCAAAAAGGACACTTATCTTAGGCTGCACTATGGGGCAGTGCAGCATAGGCATATCTGGGCATAGATGTGATCTTTGGCCTGCCTGTGTCTGACAGAACATACCAACAAGAGATGGATGACTGAATTTCATCATAGAACTGATTGTACCCTGCCACTGTTTCAAACTAATCTCGCTGAGAAGCATGGATGTAATGCTGAATGCTCTGGGAAGGATGAGATCTGTAAGTGCTGCTGCTCTTCAGAGCTTTTTTATCGTTCTGCTTCTTACAAGTCTTTTTGAATGCTGTTGTAAATACAGTGCCAGCACCCTTGGGTCATTGAAGGCTTGAGTTCCCAGAAGCAGAGTAAATTTTGAATTTTACAATATTTTTGCAAACCTTAAGAGAACTCAGTGCTCTTTTACCTTCAAGCAAGACTCTGGTAGAATACTCAGCACCAAGGCAAAAAAGAGACCTAAAATTGCTACCTTGGAATAACAGCTTTCTTCAGCAGAAAGGAGGGAAATAAATGAGTTGTCCAAATGCATATTTCTTGAAAGATCTGTAACTATGAGTTTTCAAAGTTTTCAGCTATTAATTACAGCACAGTCAGTTTATTTGGAGAATGTTTTAATACTTAGTCTAAAGGATTAAGTAAATGCATGCAGTAATTATAAAAATGTCTGAGTTGCCAGGATTCAGTGATAAAAGAAAAGCATCAGCAGGAATTCTCTTATCTGCCTTTTCATGAAAAGGAATATAAGATTGTGGAGACGATCCTGATTTCCACAGATCCTAAGTTTTCCTTCCCCCTAGGATTCTGCCCAGATGAGCTTTGGTCCCTGCTATGCTTATGAGCAATTTTCAGTGATCTCACGTGTAACATATCCGATCTCTGCAAAATGAAGATCTGTCTCATTATAATGTTGCATTTTTGATTATTCAGTTGGTTGTTTTTTGTTGTTTGTTTGTTTTCTGGTGTGACACATGGGGAGGTAGATGCAGTAGTCTAGCTGAAAAAAGTCACTGATTTGTGAGGATTTTTGAAGACCTGTTTCTGACCCTGTACCAGCAAACCTTACCCTTCCTGTTAGGCAGGATTTTCAGTGTGTGAAGAGTGTGATGTCATGATATCTTTGAGCATCTTGTGTTTCACTTGGCAGTGCTTGCTGGGTAGGGTCATTGTCTTCTCACAGCTGTAGTGATGCAACTTTACTGAGTGGTTGCTCAGAACTTGGCCAACCTGAAAAACCAAAAGGAAAGGAAAACCAAATACCAGTAACTATTTAAAAATGCAGGTTCCATTGTCAAGTTTGTAAGCACTTGTTGGGAAAGATTCTTTTGAGAAGTACTGAGTGTGCAGTGCTTCTGTTGGAGAGAAGAGAAATTTATCTTTGGTCGACAGAATTTGCATTATATTTTGGAAAGCAAGGTTTCTAAGGGGCTAAATCTTCAATACCCAAAACACTAAAACTGCATTTCTGGTCAATCTGTACACTCAGAGTCTGATGCTTACTTCAAAGAGACCTCATCTTTCCTGGTAGCACAGGAGACAAAATTTCATCTGATATCTTCGCTAAATTCCCCCAGGAAAGAGGGTAGCAGGGAAATCCAGAATCCCTCTAGCCCACATCTACTTGATCCTCTGGGTTCACTTCAGCTTTTTTTTTTTTTTTTTTTGTCAACCTCTGATATAAAAATACTAGCTGCATTTACAAGGGGTTTTTTTTGGATTCTGGCTACATACTAAGATGCATCCAGATACCCAGACAGCAAATGATATCTAAAGAAATATTGCAATCTTAAATTAATTATGATGAAATGGGTTTTCTTTAATAAGTTTTACCTATTTTTCTCTGAGCAGGTGCACTGAAGAAGGCTGGTATCTCTTTGCAGACAGCTCAAATGGAGAATTTGGTGACACAGCTGACATTGCTACCCCAGTCATCTCCCTTACAGGGCCCAGATGCAAAATCATATTCTGGAACCACATGAATGGTTCAACAATAGGTTCTCTGGAGGTATGGAGATGTTCTTTATTTTGTTTTGTTTTGTTTTGTTTTTCCACATGAAATTGCTGTGAGAAAATTTATGCCTTCTCTTTTAGTTTCATTAAAGCCCAGGCTGCTAATAAACAAAAAATAATAATTACTAGCACTCTACCGCTCTCAACATGTTATGATATGAAGGAAGCATTAGCTCAAATATTGGAGAAATTATAAATTTCTACAACAAGCAAAAATTGCAACTGTTATAGATATGCCATGGCTGGAACTTCAATACAAGAAAAAGTTTTGTATCACACAGTACCATTTGACACTGAAAAGCAGCAATAGATATTTGGACATCAAGGTCTTTAGCTAATGTGAGAGCATGAGAAAAATAAGTAATTGTATCAAAAATTGACATAAAATCTTGTAGAAAGAGTTTATTCCTTGAAAAGCTGAACATATCACTTTCAGAGATTATTTATATTCATGTAAGCATCATTGAACTATTTCTATGGCATATAAGCAATAAATTTGCTTTTCCATACCCTTTTCCTCATTCCAGTTTAATTAAAAGCACTTCTGTAAAGGAAATTTAACTCATTATAATTTGTAAGTCAAATAAGTCACTGCAGACAGAAATTAATAAAACAACAACATTGTTCTAAATGATAATTTTTACCACACAGCTGTGTGCTTATATTGGGATTTCCCAGGAATGTCATGGAATACCTGCAGCATCGGGAATGGATTTAAAAAAAATACTCATATAAATTACCCAGTCACCTGTGCACTCAGTATCATATTGGATGTGGGCAGTGCATGAGGATTTAGATATACAAATTATAATAAAAGGTGACAGAATTCAGTTATTTTGAAAGCAAAATTAATGTTTGTGTTGACATTAGAAATGTGTTGTGGGATGTGGTAAACTATACACCATGCATGTGACTTGCTAGATTTAATGGAAACATGTTCTATGTTTTCTTGGATTTTTCCTAAACAATTTTAAAAAATATTGTAGAATATGAAAATAATATAGTAATATCTTATTATTAAAATAATTAAATTATATTAAATTAAAATAATAAAATTTAAATTCAACATTAAATTTAAATAATTAAATTAATTATTGAAATAATGTAATGTATTATATTAAAATAATAATATTTTAGAATATTAAAATATTTTAAAATATTTAAATTTCTCCCAACTAGGTAAAGATATTGCTAGGCTTCTTGGCAAGTGGTCGAATACTAATTAATCAGAATCAGTGGGAAATCAGAGGATAAAGATGGTTCATCCTTAGTTTTAAAGCTTGGAACCAATTAATGTGCTTTGGGACTTACGTACTCCAGGGTGTAGACTCCTTTACAGTCTAAGAACCCATGTTAGCTGGAATCACATTCAAAGAGTGTTTTGTAGAAATCAACAGCAATTCTATGGAGCCATGGCCAGTATTACCAGCCCAAAAGGCAAATGTGTATAGTATAGTTTTTTTCTCTTCTCAGTTTCATCACTGATTACAATTTCCCTCTATTCTTTAGCTGATCCTCTCTAACCTACAACTTATTTCATTTTAAGATGTACCAAAGGAAAATCATGAAACCTTTGCACATCGTTAATAATTGCCTGGTTTCAATTGTTTGATTAATCAATTAATAATGGGTGTAAGAATAACTTAGAAAATAAAATTACTTAGGTGGTTTCTCATTATTTATATTAAGAAGGCTCTAAGTATTGTAGGAATAGGAATTTTTTCTTTGCTTAAAAGACCTTTTATCCATATCTTCCCCCAAGACTACCACTTTTTTTTTTTTTTACTTTTGCTTGTAAGTCTGCACTCATGCTATCAAATACCTTGTAGGATTGCTGAAGATATTCCTGCCATTTGCATGAATGGTTACCTTCCTGTGTTTCTATTTCTTTCTTAAATATTGATTTGCTGTAACTTCCCTGAGCAACCTCAGTTTGGTTATTTGTGGGAACCTTTTTTATTTAGTTTCTGTACTTTGACTTGGCATGGGCAATTTTACCAAAGTATTAGATGTGCTTTTTTGCAATGTAATTGAGATGCATAAAGGTTCAAAGTGCATTAAGGTACAGGGAAGCCTTGGGTTTTAATAGCACACAAATTAATGGCCATGTTTTACTCTAGTTTTAACCTGTTTTTGTGATATGATAGAAAATGTGAATTTATGATGCAGGAATTGGATATATAATAGAGTAGATAATTTACAGCCTGTAAAAACATGGACATGTGTGTTTACAATCACACACATATCTTCATATAAATATAATGTTTGCATTTAAGAGTAAAAAAAGATACTTTCTTATTCAGCACTCTTCTTTCAAATAATGTCTGTAATCCCTTTCTCACTAATTTATTTATTTTCATTTAAAATTAATGTATTCTATGTCAGATCTTCCTGTCTATAAAGTCAGAAGTCACTTGTTTTTCTATCTAATTTAATATATTATCTATTACTTTTTTCCCCCCTAAAATGAAAGCTCTTTAGTCTGAGGATTTGCTGTTTGCTTGGCAGAATTTACCTGTTATGCAATACCATATACACTCATGGGACTGCATAAATTTAAAACAAAAACAAAAAATAAAGTGCTTTTTCGTTATGATGAAAAATGTCTGGGCTGCTCTAAGATTACACAGCGTAGCAGTAAATCCTTGAAAGCAGGAGTAGTTCAGGCAAGTGGTGAATGGATGTTTAACTCTGCTAGTACTGGCTGGAGACACAGCTTGACACACTTCATCAAACACCCATCTTGTTATTGTCAGCTCAGTTGAATTTGGATGCCCAAGAGATTGGACCAAAGAATATTTAGGACTCTCTGCTCATGTTGAAATGTGTCAACTTAAAAAAAAAAATATTTGTAGAAGAAAATGTTTAATAAGAACCAGGATAAGAAAATCTATCCTGGAAGAGCAGTTAATTGTATGGATGAACAAATATACTTTTCAGCAAGTCTTGTTAACCCTGTTTCTGTGTTGTACAACTGAATCACAACCCATTAATGAACAATTTTTATTCACTGCTAGCCATTCTGGATAAAATAATGAGATACGTTAGTCCAGTTAAGGCTGCGGGCTGGGTATGTTTATGAGGAGATCAGAAAATCTTAAAACATTGTTTTCTTAGTATAGTCCTTTATATTGACATATCCATGTGCATCAGGTTGGACATTAGGCAAAGGTTCTTCGCCCAGAGGGTGGCTGGGCACTGGAGCAGGATCTCCAGGGCAGCAGGCACAGCACCAATCGGGCAGAGTGCAAGGAGCACCTCAGCAGTCCCAGGAGTATCATTCAGCTTTAGGTAGTCCTGCAAGGAGACTACTGCCTTCCAATTCCAAATATTCTATGATTCTGTGAATTTTAATGGTGGAATAGAGATTAGATGGACAAGATAATATTGTACTCTTGTATATGATAATAGGACTGTCAAGTGAGTTGGTAATGGAAACTTTTTTTGTAACCTAGAATTACTTTCTTTTTTAGGTACTCTATAAGAGCAGTAACAAGACTTCTAAACTGTGGATTCAAAGTGGCAGCCAAGGTCCCCAGTGGAACAGAGCAGAAGTGTTCTTAGGAATTCGTTCAAATTTTCAGGTGTGTCTTCCAATGCGATGTGCTTCCTAGAGAGCTGGCTATTACTTCTATATTAAACATATATTAGGCATTCTTCATCTTCTCATTTCCCTCTGCACATCCTGCATGTACTTCTCCTCTCGCATAGAAGGAATTTTGGCTGTCTGATTAATTATCTGAGCTGGACTCATGTTTTTGGAGATTTCTCACTCCTCTTTTATCTCAGACTGATATCCATTTTTAAGACTGAGAATACCATCTATCCTTGAATCCACTTCTGCTTAAAACATTCTACTTCTTTCTCCTTAGTGTGCAGTAAGTGAGAACATCTGTATTTTGAAAAAAGAATCTTGAGCGTGATGTTTGCTTTGAAATCAGAGCAGATTCCCAAACCTCTTATAGATACTTGCTTGGTTGTAGACTTATGAAAAAAACCCCAAAACCCTCAAGGATAGTCAGTAACATATTTTTAAAAGAGTTACATTTCTTGATACTTCTGTATTAGAATTTTAATGAAATTTTTACATTCGTGGGAATAAACGATGAATGGCAGACTAGTCTTCTTCAGACTTTACAGAAGTAGGAGGAACTCTTGCTGTTAGTTCAGGATGAGTGAGCAGTAGTATCTCTTTGAGTGACATGATTTATTTACCTTTTTTTCATGTACTTGGTAATGTTAGAAGACGGTCCTTCAGTAACTGCAGTGACAGATCTGTACCAACTGTAGTACAAGATTTCATAGAATTATGCTTTGACAATAAGAACTGACCACTTCCTATGAAAAGATTTGTGAGGGACCATCAGTCTGTTCTTTTCAAGTTGTGTGTGTGTAAGCTTTTTTCTATCTTATCAGTGGCTTACTGTAATAGCTCTGTAATTTTTATTAGGTTATTTTCAGGACAAAACGTGGTGTCAGTTACATGGGAGATGTGGCAGTGGATGATATTACCTTTGAAGATTGTTCCCCTCTGCTAATCTCAGACAAACCTTGCACATCAGAGGAATTCATGTGTGCCAACAAGTACTGCATCCCAAAGAATAATCTGTGTGATTTTGTAAATGACTGTGAAGATAACTCAGATGAAAGCCCTAGTATTTGCAGTAAGTATTATAGTTTTTTAATATAATTATCATAAATAACTGCACCTGCTGTGAATTTTTATTACTCAAATACTTTTGACAGCTCATCAGCTAGGAAAGCAAACAAGAAGGTAATAATTTAATTCTATTCCTTGGCTTTTAAGGATTTTTAATTATTATTTAATTAAAAATCACATGATACAAAATACAAAGAGCTGCTAATGGATATCTTAAAATAACTCACAAAGCAGCTGTCTTTAAAAGCAGAATAAAATTATCCTGCTTTCCATATGAAAAGAATGTATTAAAGTTGAAAAAAAAATTCAAGCATAATAACTTTCGGAGATGAGAGACCTATCTCCTTAGATATTTCAAGGGTTGTCAGGTCTCAGCAAATTATTTTAATCTGAATGTTGTACAATTTTGGTTTTACAAGGCATATCAAGAAGCAGCATATGTAGTATTTGATTCAAAGAATGATGTTTCATATCAAATAGTTCCTCCTGGATCACAATATATGGTATTAACACCTCCTTTTTTTAATACTACAAATGTGGGAAATGCTCACACAATCAAATCTGCATTGCTTGGTACCATATTAACAGTCGCCTCATTTTTATTAAGAATATGAATTCAGCTAATTCAAATTCTCAGTCAATACAATTCTTTGAAGAAAAGCTATGCTGAAGAAAAGGTATCCTATGAAAGCTAAGGTACATGGCAAAGGAACCGTGTTTTACAAATCATTTCCATACGATTAAGCTACTCAATGATTTCCAATCCAGGAATAGTACATCACTATACATACAGGGACTAGCTCAGATCTTCTGCAACTAAAATGAAGAGTACTTCAAGTTGCAATTACTCGTTAAAAAATATTCTCAAACTAACTTTGACTTTTGTTTTCTGAAAGTTTTAAAATATTAATCGGGGGTTTTTTGGGGTTTTTGTTGTGAGGTTTTTTTTTTTGGGTTTTCTGCATTGTCTGTGTTTCCCATGCAATATCATCAGACAAGTAAAAATTGAAGCATTAAGGGCAAAATGGTTCAAATAAACTGATGGGATTTCATTTTGCAACCTATAATAACTATATATAATTTTTTATAAAATACATAATATATATAAATTATATAAAATGTAAAATATATAGAATATTATATAATTATAATAAGGATTATATTCGAATTTCACATTGGAAGAGATGAATTGAAACAGTCCCATACAGTGAATGCTGTCCTGTAATGTGTTTTTTATTATTTTAAATAAGGAAAAAAAAAAGCAAAATCATTAAAAAAAATTTCCTAACTGCATTTTAATTGTAAGTTTTACAGTGAAGCATTATGGTGCTTTAAAAGCACAGGAGTCATTTAATGTGCAAGTGCACAATCATCTGCAGTAACAAGCTTCTAAGCAGGCTGCCTAAATTCTCTTTTTCATCAATGGAGTAATTTGTTTTCAGGCTGAAGTTCATGCAATTTAAAATCGGTTGTTTGAGTTAGATTAATGAAGTTTTCCTGTATATATGACTATTTCTCTTTGTTGACAGTAGAGATCCTACAAGGACATCTAAACTTAGATTAGGTAATACCCAATGTGTGTAGCATTAGCAGGGATATCAGTGCACATGCCTTAAGGTCTTGATTCTTGAAAACATGTCTTTAAAATGAAAGGGTCAGTTGTAAGCATGAATTTTATTGACTCAAGATGGAATTTGTAAATAATGGAAGGAATTTGTTTAAGAATGGTCTTGAAATACTAAGTAACTAAATCAGTTGGAAAATACAATTGGGACAAATTTTATGGGCAGTTGCATTCAGTTGAGTTAATCTACAATCTGTGATTTTCATAAAAGATAATATAATTTCACATATCAGATCTGGATTGGTTTTAAATGTTACTTCACATGGCACTAGATTTGCAGACAGAGGTAAAATGGAAGCTAGTTTTGCTAATGAGTTCATACTTTTAAGAAAAAGTTTCTAACTTTTGTATTTTATGACATTTACAGATGAAAATTCAAAGACAAAATATTTTATGTGATCTCAGAGTGAAATTTTTGAGGTAGCTGTCTTTTTTGTTTTGGTCCATGTGTAGATTTCATGGATTCTAGATCCTTAGCCTGGTTATTGACGTTTCTGAGTACCTTTCAGTTAAATAAAATACTTTCAAGTGGCTGAACTTTATCAGACCTCAGAAGAGGCTCAGATTTTGATTACATTTTGGAAGAGACATTTTGTAATTTCTGATATTGTCCTACAAAATAATACATATAGTTTCATATTTGTCTTCAAGGCACTTTCCTTTTCAGCAGTAATAGTAAGAATATTCAGGGCACAGTCAAAAGCTTCTTGAAGTCTCTGCTGAAATTCCAGCTTATTTCAGCAATTTTAATCTTATTTGGTAATCATTATAATGAACTTATAGATGTATAGAGAGAAAAATACACAGAAATTAAACTTCTGGAATGATACAATTGACTTTATTTATGTGGACAGTTTACTCACCATGCTGTCTCTTTTGACATTCAATATTCAAAAATTTGTAAAGAATATGCATGTAGTTTCATATTAAAATCAACCAAAACTATGACAGATTTCTTCTTTTCTTCACCTTAAATACAACTTAAGGAGCTGTGTAGACAAGCATAGAATCATTTATGTTGGAAAAGACCTTTAGGATCTTTAAATCCCACTATTATCATTACCAATTTCACCACCAAACCATGTCCCTAGGTGCCACATTTTATGTGGCTTATAAAGACCTCCAGGGATGGTGACTCAACCACTTCCCTGGGCAGCCCATTCCAGTGCTTAACAACCCTTCCTAGTACTAGGAAAAATTTTTCCTAGTATCCAATCTTAGCTCTGCTGGTACAACTTGAGGTCCTTTCTTCTTCTCCTATCACTCATTACTCAAGAGAAGACACTGAGCCCCACCTCGCTACAACATCCCTTCTAGTAGTTGTCAAGAGCTGTCAACACCATCACCCAGACCCTCCTTTTCTCCAAACACCCCCAGCCCCCTCTCAGCTGCTCCTCTTGCAACCTGTTCCCCTTGCCCTTACTCTTCTTTGGACACAATCACCCACCAACATAATTTATCTGTGTTTCTATATTGGCTAAGGAAATACAAATGAATTGAGGAATTGTTCAAAAGTAAACTAACTAACTTAGTGTGTGATTTGGCTCAAGATTACCACACCAACATTTATGTTTTGTCTGCATCTGTCCATATAGAAGCTGTGCTTTTATGGTGCTCAATACTTTCATTTGGATATGTCTGTTCCCTACATAGAGGCATTTCTTCCTGTTCTCACCAATCTTCTATTCCTTCAGAATGAGGCTGGTTTTCTGCACATGACTTGAATGCTCTATGGGGGGCCAGTTAAGACCCTAAGGAGCTAAAATTTGGTTGCATTTACACCAAGGATTCTGTTGACTGTAATAAAAAAAGCACTGGACCCACCTCATATATATGCAAGTAGGTTTATCTTAATATTATAGTCCAGAATATTCAAAATTATCTTTTTTAATGAGATACATGGATATTATTTTTTTTATAGTGAATTTTTTTTCATTTCCCATAGATTAGAGTACTAGATTGTACTATATTTACTTAATTAACTACTTGAAAATAAATCTCTTTCCATGTGTGGCAAATATATTTCAGGTACATCTATTGGGCATTGCAATTTTGAGTTTGACTTTTGTGGATGGAAGCAAGATGAAAATGATGATTTCGACTGGTACCTCAGAACTAGCAGTACTGCAAAACTGGGCACTGGACCAGCTACTGATCATACACTGCAAGAGTCATCTGGTCATTATATTTTTATAAAGAGTTCATTTTTTCAGCTACCAGGACAGAAAGCTAGGATTTCTAGTCCTGTCTTAAGCAGAAAGAATAAAAACTGCAAGGTATGTGAGGGTGTGGTAGTAGCAGGAATGAAGAATTTGATTTCTAGATTTCACCAAGAGAGTACTCCTAAAATTATTAAAGATGTTTACTGAAATCGTTCTTGAGATAAAAATACCCCATCCTTTTGTGGAGAAGTCAGGAATAAATCTTATTTGATTTTAACCATAACAAAAAATATATCTTGCTGCGGGAGAAGGGTTATTCTGGAAGTAAATGAGTACTCCATGAGGTTCAGATGAAGCTGCCACTAAATGCAGTGTCTGATTTACAATGTCTTATGCAACTCATCCAAAGTAACAAGCAACTATTTAATGGTTTCTGATTTTATGGAGAAAGTGTGTATAAATGCAATAACAATTGCTTTTCAAAGAATATAACTGCAAAATGAAGGATGTGTAAAAGAAGGCTTTGTTACCAACTCTTTTCTAAAAAATGGGGAAGTGTAAGCCTTGATCTTCCAAAATATTACAGCACATTGCAGTGACTGCAGCTTGAAAATTTCTTTGCAAACCTGGAATACAGGTTACAATATATATATATATATATATAATAAATACCTGGATATATATATAAATACCTGGATACATCTTTTCTAGTCTTTTCTAAAAATACAATGAATGTCCCAGAAACTTTAGCTATGCCTTATTTTGAAACTACAAGTTTACCTTTATACATCTAATAAATAAGCCTCTCAATAGGATAATTTTTATGAGGCTATTTTTAAAAAGCTTTTGAAATTAACGGTTTGTGTGATCACAGAACAATGCGCATCAAATGAAGGTGGTCATAGACTGAAATAGTCCTAAGCAGTTTCTGGCTATCCAGGTAACATCTCTGTGCAAAATGTCCAATCCTGAGTCTCTAGTTTCATTTATCTCAATCTATTCCTGAGGAATTTTCCTGTGCAGTTTATCTGCAACTTGGAAAGAGTTCTGCTTATGGAGATTTCAAACCAGTTCATTTTACTGAAATACTTCTCTCTGAAAAGTCTATAAACTCATTATAGATAAGAAAGTCAGGAAGTATTAAACATAAAGGGCTTGATTTAGGATTCAAAAGAAAACTTGAATAATTATGATATTCAGTAGCAAAATTTAACCTAGCCATTATACACTTATCTTCAAAACTGGAACCCTGTTAATTTTTTGTATTGCCTAAAATACATATGCCAAAAAAATTCTGCTTACACAAACATGGAGATCTTGCCCTTCAGCGTCTAACATCATATTTATGTGTATTTCTTTCTCTGCATTAACTGGTTTTATGCTCTAAAAATAACTTTTCCACTTTTTGACTTCTATGAAGCATAAAACATATGTAAAGAAATTCAGAATAACTGAGAATGACATGACATCTGTACTGTTACATATAGCACATTAAATGCAATTAAGTGCTTGAAATGCAGCTATGGGCAAATGTTGCTTTTATCACATAGAAAATTATTTACAAAAACATGCAGTTTTATGCACCTTGTACAGACCAAACTCTTGACATCCATTATGCGACTTGTGGACATAGGCAAATGTCCAAAGGAAGGGCAATTATTGGTATAGGAAATTGCATGAATAGAAAAAAATACGTCAAGATCTGAAACCTCCTCTTATAAGATCAGAGAGTCCCCTGAAGTATTTTACTCTTTCCTATGGGTTATTTGAGAAGAAAATGCTTCATTGTACTACAACAGTTTTAGTATGGGATCTTAGACCATTTAAAATCATTGGAAAATTAACATTTACATCAACAAGGTGAGTTTTATACATAGAAAACAAATATACAGCACTAAGTAACTATAAAGGTACATAAATAAATAAAAATACTTTGTCTATATACAAGACTTTCAGAAACAAAGCTGCACCTTCAAAAGGAATAGAAATCCAAGACTGAATTGGAAAGAACTGAGAGTGCTGTTAAATGTGATGAATTTTCACAGTGTGATCTTTTTATGTATGTATTTGGTCTTTTATATTTAAAAATTTCCTCATTTTTACTAAAAATAAATAAATCACTGTTTAGTAGTCCAAGTACTTTTAGATGTCTTTGAGGTTATTTTTGCATATGTCCATGTAAAAGTTTTGCTCCCATGATAGATTGTATTCTTTTCTAATTGCACATTCTATAGCCTACCTAAACACATTTTTATCTGGGAACTTGTTCAGTAAACTGAAGTTGCTTCCTATATTGTAAATGACACTACTCCATTCCTCTGTTTCCTTAAAAAATATTTTAGTTCTTTCACATTTAAATGCAAGAGTCATTCAAAGGGATGCAAGATCTGATGCTGAATATTTTAATGCTGGTTTTGAATTTTGACTCATGGAATAGTTAAATAATTGCCACTAATAAGTTGTTCGGTTACCTTTTGATTAAATTATTTTTCAACCAGTAAAATTAATGACTACTCTGAATGCTATTAGTAATGCTCAGTTGAAGAATTAGTGTAAATACAATAGCAGATTTTGACTGAAGTTACCTATTACATACTTTATGCTCTTGTTTTTGCTTACAGATAATTTTCTATTATCATATGTATGGAGCTCACATTGGATCATTGATTATCTACCAGAGAACTACACTGAAACACGAAAAAATTCTCCTTAATCTTACTGGAAACCAGGGAAATTACTGGCAGCGCAAGGCACTGACCCTGTCTGGAGATGGAGATGACGATTTTCAAGTTGTCTTTGAAGGGATAGCTGGAGAAGGTCCCAAAGATGGCATAGCACTTGATGACCTCACGTTTTCCAGGGAATGCTTACCATCCCAGGAGTTTTTACCAGCAGAACCCCCAGAGCTACCTCCAGCAGGTATGTTCCAGCAATGGACAGTCTGTGTAAATTTAGAAAGAAGAAATAGCAGCATTATTTTAATTTCTTTGTGTCTCAGTCAAAAGAGAAATAGTATACATATTTGGCTAAAGACATTCAGAAATTTTAACACTTTTAGGCAGCCCATGAAATTCTAATAAAATAAATAATTGTTAGGTATTGAGACAACTGTTGTGAGTCTGCAAAGCTTCTTTTCCAGCCATGTACACTTAGCCAATATCCTGCTTAATTCAGTAGGATTTATTTATCAAAAGTTGTAAAATAGAGTTGTTGTAGAATAAAGAACTGAATGGGACAGAGCTTATATGGACAGTTTGAAATAAGGCCAGCAAGCTTAAATGGTTTTTGGCTTGTAGGAATTGCTACCAATACTAGTTAGGCACCATATCCATCTTCTGCCTGTGTGGTATGGTGCCAGCATCAGTGCAATTATTTGCACCATCCTCACTGCCCTAGGGAAATAAGACTCAGAAAACTTTTACCAGAAATTTTACAGTTTGGATGGGGATGGATTCCAATAACCCCAAGGTAAGAGCTACTCATGAAAGCACTGCTGCTGTAGGTTAGCAGTATTTGCTTGGACACAAATGATGAAGGAGAGAGTCTTTTTGACAGAACAGGACAAATCTTTTTCCTCCTTCCACATTTATCACAGAGCTACTGAAATGTAGCCCCCTGAAGTGGAATTTAGGAGATGCATTTTGTTCCTGGGTCTACTACAAATTTCCTGCATGGCTGCAGAAAGTCATTTTATCTCACGTCTCTGTCTTTCTGATCAATAAAACAAAGTTAATATTTCCCAGTGTCAAGGACTACCATGAGAATGGATCATTAATTTGTGTGAGCAACTTTGCTTTGTTACTGCTGCTAATGAATAGCCTTCCCCTTTAGGATGTCATTAAGCACTGCTCAGGCATTGGGAAATAACACTGATGAGACTACATCAAAACCAAGAAATTGCGCTGAACTTTGAGCACAAGATAAGCAGAAATATATGGGCAAAATTTTCCAGACATCGCTCTGATAAGGTGCCAGTTCTAGTACTATTGGCTTCTACTTCTGCCAAGACAGTCATGGAAATTTATTGCAAATGAGATTTATATTTTGAAGTTCAGCTTTATATGAACGTTACCCCAGGAGAAACGCTAGCCAAGCTTTCTGATTCTTTATTTTTGTTGTATTCAGACTCTGTCCTCTTAATGGGAGATGCAAGTCCCTGTGGCAACGTTAGAAGCTTTAAAAGCTTTGGTTTTGATGGTAAAGGATGTTCCAAAACACTTTTATGTTTTATAATAAAAAAGATACTAAAATCTCAGGAAAGAGCCTCCAGAGACTGATTTCTTGGTGTAGCTCATATAAGATGTACTTCGTGAACTTCAGAGGTTCACAACACTTTAAAGCAATGGTTTAAATTCATCCTTACAACAAACCGTATTTTTTACATTGACAAATTTTACTTGTCTGGGATAAGAGTTTGCATGACCCACTGAGGGGTTTAACTACAGTTGCTACTTAGCAGTTGTATCTGTTTGCATCACTGCTTGTGAGTGGGTCTGCTTCTGCCCATAGAAATGCTCTGGACTGTGACAAAATGCATGCTGGATGTTGTGAAAAGTGCTCTGTAATGCAACTTTTTAAAATAGAAACAGCTAGAATGGCCATGATTATCAGCTGCAAAAATCTGCAGCCCTAGACTTATCTGCTTATATGTAGAAACAAAGGAAAGTTTAACCAAAAGCAAAACCCTTATATCCATTGATCAATTTTTTGAAAGCTTCAGAGGATGAATATCATGAAGCATAGATCTGTTTCCTTCTTGTCTCCAGCTAGGGAATATATTTGCTAAGAAAGTAAAAATATTTCTTCTGTAAGAGATAAACTCGTAGTTTTTGAGATCTACTCTAATACATTTACTTTTATATTTCTTTTGGGTAGTATTTGTAATATACATATCAAAGGAGATTCTTCTGAGCCTTATTGAGCCATATCACTGTGTGAGACAAATATACTAAGAAGTCTTTGCTTATTATTTCTATGCATAGAGTCATATGGCAGTGATTGCAGTGTAAAAATGAAACTGAACAGAATCATTAAATGTTCCCATCTGTGACACAGACTCTCATCGTTCAGAAGAATTTTTCCCTGATTCTATATAAACACCTTGAAATTCTGCACACTAACAAAAATTATTCTAAGGTGGCAGTTTCTTTCAGCCAAACAGGCAGTAATGTTTAAAGGCAGGAAGTGAACACTGGACAGCTAGAAAAAAGAAATTTGAAAGCTAGCATTGTAATGTCCTATAAACTACGGGATACTGTAGATTGTTCTCAATGTGCTGCTTAGCAACAGCGATGCTGAACTGCAAAGCCACTGAGAGCCACTTAAATTGCTGGGCCTGAGAAACAATAAACATCATTTTAGGCTGGCCCTTATCAAATTTTCATTGTATGAACATCAGTTTTTTCTCCTGTGTCACAATGGTACTCTGTGGAGGAAAATGCAAAGACAATTTTGTTCTAACGATGCTATTTGTGCCTGTTGCTGTGTCTCTGCAGTGTGGTAAGATTTTTGAGTTAGGTTCTGCCTTGTGTAAAAAGCTCCCTGTATCCACATCAGCCCAGGAAGAGATCCTGGCCACACTGAACCTCGTGAAAGTTGCAGTTGTTTCTGTATTTGGCTTTTCTGGCAAGGTTTTGGTGGCAGGGGGCTACAGGGGTGACTTCTGTGAGAAGGTACCAGAAGTTTCCCTCATGTCTGACAGAGCCAATTCCAGCTGGCCCAGGATGGGCCCAGCAGGCCAGGGCAGAGCCTGCCAGTGATGGTGGCAGCATCCCTGTGATAACAGATATAGGAAAGGGGAAAACTGTTGCACAAAAGCAATTGCAGCCAGAGAGAGGAGTGAGAATATGCAAGACAAGGAGCTTTTCTGGCACCAAGGTAAGGGAAGAAGGAGCAGGAGATTCCCCTTCAGCCTGTGATAAATACCATGGTGAGTTAGGCTGTCTCATTGCAGCCATGGAGGTTAATGGTGGAATAGCTAATCATGAATAATATTTTATACTTACAGTTGTTTACAAAAGAGACATCATGGATTTGACAGCAATTTCCATGATCTCTAAAGTTGGTTTTCCTATCCTCTTTCTATCCCTTCCCTCCTGCAGTATAGTTGTTATTGACTGTAAAAATTGCAGATCCCTCCATCAGAGTTTCTGCTCATGTCTCCTTCCATTCCCCTGGGAATACAACAGGTGCCAAGGGCTGCCTGATTAGATTAGCAGGCTACAATAAAGAAAAGTTATTCCAGAGATTAGGGAACTGGTATCTGATTACTTCATTTGGTAGAGAAGACAGTTATTTTCAGCAAATTAAAAGCAATTTACTGAAGTGTGGAACATATCTTTGAGAACACAAGTGTATTAACAGAGAATCACATCAAGGTCCATTTCACTTGATCTCTCTACTGCTATCAGTGAGATGCTGAACATGCATGATACTTCCTCTTAATGTTCCTCATATATCCTTTTTAGGAAACCTTACAAACAAAATATGATTTTAGATATGGAGTAAACCTTAATGTATTTGCCTTCTGTATAGAGTCTAGTTTGCCTAGAAGCACATTCAGGAGTATAGCCCCCTTCTCATTTTTTGTGACAAGTGGAACAGTTCTGCCACATGCAGGGAAAGCGACTCTGTTTTTACCCTCTTTTTACTGAAAATGGTGAGCAGCCAAACACACCTACTCTGTTGTTCTCTATGCAATCGTCCTTAAACAACAAATATACTGAAGGAGTTTCAACTTATTTCTTACATGGAAAGTATTCCTTATGTTTTACTTTCTCTGACTTCAAAAAAAAAAAAAAATCCACTATATTTTAGGACTGTAAAATCAGGTCTGTGTAGAGAATTTAGGAAATTAGTGACCAGTGGAATGATACCGTAACAAAATGGTTCTTTTTTCTCTTTTCCTGATAAATCCTAAAACCTTGATTGCTTTGTCCTTTTTGAACATTGGGGTTTTGTGTTCCTGGAACAGTTTCAGAATTGTGCTGTGTCACTCTTTAGGAGTGGTACTGATAGGATTCCAGAACCTGTGAAAGATGGACTCTGTTATTCTCTGTAAGTCAATAACATCACATTTCATTGCCATTCACTCAGGGTGCAATTAATTTTTATCTCCATTGTAGTTCTATAAAATAACTGATGCACCTATGGGGACTGAATGTTACAGAGATTATAAGAAAGTGAATGTCCTGCAATGGCAGCTGATGTCAGAAAGGTTTTTTTAGTTCATAGCTAGCACTGGGTACGGTACATGGTCATTTTCACAAGAAACTTGTCCTATTATTCATAGTTATTCCTATGAGTACCTTCATATCACTGGAAAATTTTCTTAACTCATCACTCATGTACTTCCCATGTCTTTTAAAAGTAAATGTTAAAGAATACAGTCTTGCAGTTTCTCTGTTCTTTCTTTGGGATTTTTTTTTTTTTTTTTAGTTGATAGGGTCTTTTTGTTCCATACTGATTTTTAAATAATTTTAGTAAAAATTTCTAATTCACAAAAAAATTTAAAATTTATAGAATTTGGTCAGTGGCATAATTGAAAAAAATATATGCAAGTAATAGAATAACCAGGAAATCAGATTTGCAAAAAATACTTTTATTTGAAATGTAGCTCAAAACTCTAGAGTCTACTCTAAAGGCCAAAGGATATTGCTTATAACACTCTTTCGCAGTTCTAATTAGATCTATAAAAGTTTACAGACACATAAATAGAAATAACTTTGGCAGTTTTTGTAACTAATATATAATTACAAGAATAATAAAATTTTATGCTTCAGTGCATAATGTGATCTACTGAAAAAAGGCAAAAAAAATCTCTTTATGCAGAACTAATCAAATAACAAAGCATTTATAGCTTCATTTGAAACAGCCAGCATTGACGATTGATTGAGAATGAATAAAGTAGTATTTCTAAA